CGCTGTTATGAATGTAAGCACCTCGCGTACCATCGCACTATTTAAACTTGCCTTCAGGTCCCATCAACCCATATATGCAACGGGACGAACGCGCGAACAGACCAGATCTCCGCTTGCCTGCTTGTAACGGGGCATGTGTCCCGATAATTCCCTCTTTCGGGATTCTCTGATCAGCTGTCTGTCACCGGTCGCAGGTGTTTTGGGTGGGTCCGATCTTGGGCGGCTGCCTGGCGGCCAAGGTCTACAAGGACAACTTCATGGCCGCCAAGCTCTCCCCGGACGGCTACGGCCTCGTCGTCGACCAGGCGCCAGAGGAGACGTCGGGGAAGTCGCCGACGCCGCTCACCCGCCGCCGGCCGTCGGACGAGGAGCCTGGTGTGGACTTGTCCGACTGCGCGGCAGCAGAGGGAGCGGTCCTGCGCCATATCGACGACGACGCTGACTCCACCGACCCGTGATCGCTCCCGGCCCAGCCGGCACGCGATGCTTGGACGCTAGGTGGCTCCACTGAGTAAGGCGCACAGTGCACGCACTCTTCCATAGGTGGCGTCACTGGGCGAGCGGCGCGTTACATATGCCCTATTAGGAGGGTGTCACCGAGTGGGCCGCGCGGTGAACGTGTCCACTTCGCGAGACGACCAACGATGCGGTACACTTGTACTCACGAGATGCCCGACGTTGCGGTGTACGTGTTGTCCTCGCGAGATGGCTGACGATGCGATGCACGTGTTGTCCTCGCGAGATGGCTGACGATGCGATGTACGTGTTGTCCTCGCGAGATGGCTGACGATGCGATGCACGTGTTGTCCTCGCGAGATGGCTGACGATGCGATGCACGTGTTGTCCTCGCGAGATGGCTGACGATGCGATGCACGTGTTGTCCTCACGAGATGGCTGACGATGCGATGCACGTGTTGTCCTCACGAGATGGCTGACTATGCGATGTACGTGTTGTCCTCGCGAGATGGCTGACGATGCGGTGTACGTGTTGTCCTCACGAGATGCCCGACGGTGCGGTGTACGTGTTGTTCTCACCATATGGCCGACGATAGCGAGGCGTGGTGAGCGGTCAAACGCAGCTTAAAACGCAGCTTTTGGGCAGAACATGCGTCGCAAACCGTGATGAACGAATAACCGGTTATTTCCTTAGACCAGGCAGGGAGAACTTGCACTGGACCGGGAGACGGATTTCAGCTGCTTGAGCACCGTCTGCTTTCCACAATGTGTACCGCAATAATTCTCAGGTAAGGCGATCACGCTACACCTTCGAGCATATACACTCAGATGCGGACACATCTCATGAGACAGCAGATTAAAGTGTGAGGCCACACGAGCCAGCGTGGAATTTCTGAAGCATTTCACATTGGACCACGCGGTCTACTTCTCGCGCAGTTCAGTTCACTGACGGCTGCAGTCTGACAAACGGATCGTGCAGGCTCCGAATACGCAGTTAAGATAGGCTCCGGTAGATCGACCTGCCGCCCGGCCAGTTCTCCCCCGATAATGCCGTCTTCGCTGCGCTTGTATTACACAAAGATGCGGCCCGCTTGTGTTAAGTTGCATCTTACTGTATGAGAGCCGGTCTTTGATTAGCTGATAGGCGCTGTAGACATGCCACACCAGAGGTGTGTCAGTAGGTTAGCTACCGGCCAGGCGTGAGTATTTTTCGACATGTTTCCACCAAATCCGAAGTTAACGCATATGCTGATAAGGTCTTCCTTGTAAATAAATAAATACTGGCTTTAAATGTTTCTGTCGACGGGCTAAATTCGAACTATTCCGACTGTCATAATCGCAGCAAAACCGGCTTAACCATGTACCCGCCATGTCATGGTGACATGGGTTATGTGGTTACAAGAACTGCTCGCTGACGTAGTGAGCGGGGCTTCAATGCAAACAAGTGGTAAGAATTAAGTTTATATACCAAATATAACTATATTCCAGCGTACATGTCTAACAGGTAACGGATGAACTACGGCGTGGTCATACAGGGCGTAGTTTCTCGTCAGTGGCGCAGCAGGCGAGGACGAGCTGTGCCCGCCGCCTCTTGACAGGAGCGGCGCAGCGGCGCCAGTGCCACGCGGCCATCCACAGCACTCGGCCGGGCCTACGGAGTCACACACTCCTACACTCACCGTGATCGGCCGGGCCTATGGAGTCATACAACTGTACACTCACAACACGCGGTCGGGCCTGTTGAGTCATAGACTTACTCACTCACCGCACTCTGCCGGGCCTGTGGGGGCAGACGCTCGCTCGCAGCACGCCACCAGGCCCGGGGTGTCACCCCATCTACATTCGCGGCACTCGACCGGGCTCACAACGTCGAACACGTGCACGAACACTTCACTCGGTTAGGCCTATGCAGCGACGCACTCGCTGGCGCCTCGCCGTGCCGGTGGGGCAGGACTTGGGCGGCGCCAACAGCACCTTGGGATCGGCCGGGCCGCGGCCGCGCCCGACCGCCGGCCGCACCCCTCCGCTCGCTAGTATCACATGCCGACCACCGGCAGCCGCCGGGCCGCGCCACGTGGAAGAAGGGCACCAATAATGAAAGACGGTGGCGGCGCACACCGGCGCTAGGCGTCAGCGTCCGCGGCGTGGCCGGGCGGCGGCGGCGCGGCGCGGCATCCGACCAGCCTGATGCCGGCCAGCCGCCGGCCGCCGCAGCAGTAGGGCAGCAGCTGCGCCGCGGCCGGCGCCCGCTGCCGCGGCGGCACCACCACAGTCAGCGCACACCCACCCGGGATCACAGTCGCACTCTTGGTCGCCTCCAGCCGCAGGGGGCGGGTGTGAGCGCAGTTCGCCGCCAGGCGGCCGGAGGCGGCGCGCGGGTCGGGCCGCGGCGCAGGTGGCGCCACCGGCGGCGACAGCTGGGGGCTGCCCACCGTCCGGTTGGGCGGCGGACGGATGCACGCCTGGTATATCTCCTTCTCCTGGCGGTCGGCGGCGGGCGGTTCGTCAGACAGGGCCGACGCATCGACGACATCGGTTTAGTTGTGACGTCACGGCGACAGTCAGGCGCACCGGACGCAGACTTCCAGACATCCAGTGAATACACGCCGTCGCGACACACAGCTCGAGGTCCCAGACCTACATATCGAGCCCTCCGTGCCAGACGGGTACAGCACATGAGCAACACGGCCTCCAAAGGTGTTCGTCGCCGTCTAGAGCCACCCTAGCGGTGTACGGGGGAGGGGGGGGGGCACGCCGCTGCACCGCCGACCCACCTGGCCAGACCCGGACACTCGGCTCGGCTTTTACGGTTGGCGTTTAGGCAGACATGGCTGAAATCTCTTCAAATGCCTGGTATTTATATATGAGTTTCTCAAAAGCTATATTCAGCAACACGAATATCGGCTTGGATATCCAAAGTTGGTCCTGAAATGCTGCTTGGTTGATTACGAGTCAAGGTAAAATAAAACTGTACAAGCTGATTAAGGAAGAGCCGTGATTTTTGCAGAGTATGTTAATAAGGCAACTTAGATGACAGCACCATGGAAAAATAGAATGTATAATATGTGGCCAGAAAACTCCAGCGTTTCCCCTCCACTAAAACGTCGTTTTGCAAACCCTCCAATCTTAACGCTGTAATATGTTTTGCGCGTTGCCGTCTTCAGCATGGTCCCTATGCAGGTGTGCTATAGCGGCCAGTGGTGCACCAGCTCCGCCGCGGAGTGTGCTCTCCCTGGGACCAGAGTGTGCTACAGCGGCCAGTGGTGCACCAGCTCCGCCGCGGAGTGTGCTCTCCCTGGGACCAGAGTGTGCTACAGCGGCCAGTGGTGCACCAGCTCCGCCGCGGAGTGTGCTCTCCCTGGGACCAGAGTGTGCTACAGCGGCCAGTGGTGCACCAGCGCCGCCGCGGAGTGTGCTCTCCCTGGGACCAGAGTCTGCTACAGCGGCCAGTGGTGCACCAGCGCCGTCGCGGAGTGTGCTCTCCCTGGGACCAGAGTCTGCTACAGCGGCCAGTGGTGCACCAGCGCCGCCGCGGAGTGTGCTCTCCCTGGGACCAGAGTGTGCTACAGCGGCCAGTGGTGCACCAGCTCCGCCGCGGAGTGTGCTCTCCCTGGGACCAGAGTGTGCTACAGCGGCCAGTGGTGCACCAGCTCCGCCGCGGAGTGTGCTCTCCCTGGGACCAGAGTGTGCTACAGCGGCCAGTGGTGCACCAGCTCCGCCGCGGAGTGCGCTCTCCCTGGGACCAGAGTGTGCTACAGCGGCCAGTGGTGCACCAGCGCCGTCGCGGAGTGTGCTCTCCCTGGGACCAGAATCCAGGTGTAGATGAACCTTGAACAATCAAGCTATCCCCTCATCGCCCGGTTGTTGAAGTTAACTGTTAGTTGGGTCCAAGCTGACGTAAGTGCTTTTGTAAATAATTGAGTGTGTTTTCAGTCAGCGCTCGAAGTTCTTAACTGTTCTGCCACTCGCGTCAGCACTCAAATCTTCGCTCGACCCGAACATTCGGTCTCACATTCGACTATGCCGACTGCGCCTGCTACGCCGCACACCTGAGCCGTGTGCCGGACGGCTGCAGCCCACCGAGCTGCAATCGAGCGGAATCACGCCATCGCGCGAACCCAGCGCACAGTCGGCGGACAAGTGGGCCGCCCCGCTCAGTCGCGCCCTCGCCGGGCCTCGCCGGCATCGTTCGGCCGGCCTCTGATGGACGCCTGACGCTAAGTCTGCTGATAGCACACCGTGCTTTTCATTGATTATACGGGCTGCGGTTAGCGGCAGACAACGGCGGCAGCAACGCCTGCTACTTACAGCGCGTTCAGTGCAGGCAACAACGGGCTGCTCACGTTCTTGACATTAAACCTAAGTAAGGCTCATGGTACGTCAAAAGTACTACAGTCATGCCCACGCCTCTTACAAGAATAGCTGCCCACTTTAAGATGATTAGATGGCTGGTGTCTGTCGGTATTTTTGCATGTGGTGCTGTGTTTTTCGGACGGGCCTGGGCCGGGAATGCACCACAGGTAGAGTTTGTTGCGTGAACGCTAAGTCCATTCGTACTAACGACGCAATGGGATTCGGCGGCGGACGTGTGTCTTTTTAGGCCAGCAGGTGGCTGGTCAGAAAGATGGCATTCATTCTGTACAAAGAACAGTCTGATTTTTGCTCTTTTTTAAGATCCACTCCGAATCTTTTGAATGGGTGGATTCCTGGGATCAGCGCTCACGCTATGTAGTCCTTGTTGCGTGAGCCCTGAATGCTACCATCTGACCGCGAAATTTCAGGTCAATGGTAAAATTTGGTAGATAAAGTTTAACGTACCGCAATGGTGGGCATGGTCCATCCAGTCCTCTGATGTCACCTGACCTTAAAGCGACCGCTGCCTCCGGCCGCAGCCATACCTGTCAAAGGCAAATAGCGAACGCCGATGGCGATTCGAATCCACCCCGCCACGAGTGGGAGGGCCGGGAGGCAAGCGCTCGAACCAACTGGTTATCTAACTGAGCTATCAGGGCGCGTACTACCAGCCCTAGCGCTGAATGGTTAAATGGTGAGATGCTAGCTCTAAGCACAGAAATAAGACGTAGGCTTCGTCTTCGTTCCGTATTTAGGCTAAATATGTGCCCACATTACAGAGCCCGATCTAAATGAGCATGATGCGTGAGAACAATAGCGCGCATTTAAAAGTGAGAATGCATTGAGACCCATTCTTCATTAACGAACACCCCAAATCAACAGCATATGCATCGCTGGTAATCACAAGTCCTTTACAAAGTGGGAGGCTATCCAAGCAAGCCCAAGCTTAGATCGACAGGATTCATCCCGGATTCACTTGGATCTACCGAGGAAGGTCCTGCATTCGGCCCAGCTGTCCCTGAGGCAAATCGTCCACAGACAGCACCAGAACGGCCTGGCTGATTAATCCTGAGCAAAATAGTATGTCGAACGGGGCGGGGCACCACGCAAGCAGAATGGTGCAAACTCCGCACGAATGCATTCGAAATATAAAGGAAGGCAAATTGCATCGGAGCCCCAGAGACGCTGCACCCTAACGTGGTAGCAGCCTGTCAGTTTTGATCGCGCGTCTCCAGGCCGCTGTCTCACCCTGCCCATTTGTGCCTGACGTACACATAATTAAGTGCCGGCTGAACAGAGCGGCGAGGAGGCGAAGCGGCCAGATGCCAGCGCCCCTCCGCCGGCCGGCTGACCAGAGCGGCGAGGCGGCCAGATGCCACCGCGCCCTCCGCCGGCCGGCTGACCATCTCACCTGTTCGGCAGTTCGGATATGTATGTGGTTGGCGGACTGGGGAAACTCCTCGCCGTCGGGCAGCGGCAGCGCCGGCGGCAGGCCCAGCTCCGTGTCGCGCTGCACCGACTGCACCAGCGCCTGATGCTCGGCCAGTGCCGCGGCCGTCCTGCGGTCGAGCGCACTCTCTCCGGCCTGCCGAGCTGACATCGCCGCCCGCCCGGCCGGCCCGCACGCCCGCTGAAACAGGGGGAGCCGCTCAGCACCGCTCTCTCCCGCCGGCCTGCCGAGCTGACATCGCCGCCCGCCCGGCCGGCCCGCACGCCCGCTGAAACAGGGGGAGCCGCTCAGCACCGCTCTCTCGCCGGCCTGCCGAGCTGACATCGCCGCCCGCCCGGCCGGCCCGCACGCCCGCTGAAACAGGGGGAGCCGCTCAGCAGCGCACGCGGCACGGCCGAATGCGCAGAGAATAGAGTTTGCAGCACAGCCGCCGGTAGAGGGGAAGACGGCGTGGCACATGCGCAGGGGACGTAGCTTGGCTACGATGCGGTCGCGTACCAGGTAAACGGGCGCGTATTTCTCCGAATCAGAAACTCGGCACCTTAACTGTCGCATGCAGCGAGCCGGGGCATCAGAAGGCTCCTCATCGGAGGAAGGCCCCTCCCCGTTCCAACTGAGTAGAAAACCACACCCTGGATGCACGTCCCAGACAGATCATAAGGCTCCACTGACCAATCCCTGAAATCATATAAGGCTCCATAAGGCTCCACTGACCAATGCCTGAAATCATATAAGGCTCCATAAGGCTCCACTGACCAATGCCTGAAATCATATAAGGCTCCATAAGGCTCCGCTGACCAATCCCTGAAATCGGCCTGGGAGAGAGTAACAACAGCAGATGTCGGTGCCGGTCCCCGGTGTGCAGCACGCAACCTCTAGGTCACATACCGTCTGACCTGGTTTCAGCCAATCAGTCAAACCGCTGTCTGCGTTTTTCCCCAAGCAGCCGCCTATCTGGCGAACGAATTGAATGTCACCTCTGACTCAGCTGCGAACGAGTCACCAGCGCGGCGGACGTGGACTGCGAGAGGGCCACGGCGCTACAGCTTGGGCTGTTTGTATCCGCGCCTCTGACCATAACCCCGCGCTATCAGTGTGGACTGAGAACAACATCCTGTATTTACTGGCGCTGCTTGGTCTGCAGGGTACACGGACTCGGTTCCTTACAGGACTTCCTCCATTGGCTGCCAATGCAAGCCGTGTGAGCTTCAGGGTCATGCCAGCCAATCGATTTCTCTTAAACGACCTGTTTATTCTCACTGTGCAGTGCCACTCACAAATGCTTACACTTATATTGGATTACTTTATCTTAAGCGCATGCTTCGCATTAAACCTGATCCCAGCGGACTATAGCGCGGGCCTGCGCCCGTCCCACGTCCAGACCCTCTCAGGGGGCCAGCGCCGGTCCCGAGGTCTCGCCGGACCGGAGCCGGCCGGCGGCCGTCCCACGTCGAGGCCCTCTCAGGGGACCAGCGCCGGTCCCGAGGTCTCGCCGGACCGTAGCCGGCCGGCGGCCGTCAGCTGCCGACGGGGCGGCGCGCCCGGCCCTTAGACGGCCTTGACGGCGCGGCCAGCTATCGAGTGACGGTCCCGATGGCCGCCGTCGCCGCCCTGGACGCCCGGTGACCGCGGCCGCGCTCACAAGCACGCGGCCGCCCCCGCCGCTGCATCGATCTGGCAGCCCCCGCCGGACGGCGACGACACGCAATCGCCTTTGACGCGCCAGCCGCGCCGCACCGCACCGCGCTGCGCCCCACTCACGCACCACGACCAGCTGGCCCGGAGGCCCGACCTCTTCCGACCGCAGCCGGTGACGTCATGCCATAGGCGACGGGACCGGCGGCTATTGACGGCGCCGGCCAAGCACGTGCCTCGGCCGACCCGCCCGGTACCGCGCAACCGCCGCTGCCGACGCCGACGCCGCCGCCACCGCCGCCGCCGCCGCCGCCGACGCCGACGCCGACGCCGACGCCGACGCCGACGCCGACGCCGGCACCGCCAACGCCGCTGCCGACGCCGATGCTCTGCTCGGCCCGGATCGGCTCTGCTCGGCTCGGATCGGCTCGGCTCGGATCGGATCGGCTTGGACCGGGTCGCGAGTCACGGACTAAGCGAGTCACGGAGTCACGGATTGGGACACGGGTGGTTCATAAGAGGCATTTGTGGACACCGCGATCGGTCGAGTATTCTGGGAGCACTTCCCCTTGCGTCGCGTACGGCTTGTGGAGGGCTGAGAGTAGGGCTGCAAGCGTGTTTCGTAGAACAATCAGTCAGCAATACCACATTTCCGCACAAGTGCCCGCCAGATACGGCGAGTCTAGTTCCGCACAGCGACAGTCCAATTTGCGGCAGTGACAGCTTAGCCCAGCACGGTAACAGCCTAGCTCGGCGCAGTGACAGTCTAGTTTGGTACGGTGACAGTCTAGCTTGACACAGTGACAGCCTAGTTTGGTACGACAACAGTCTAGCGCGCCACAAAAGCGTCTAGCTCGGCACAGAGGCGGTCTAGCTCCGAAGAGAAACAGTCCGGCTTGGAACAGTGACGGTCTAGTTCGGCCAGTGACAGTCCAGTTCGGTACAGTAACGGTCCAGTTTGGCACAGTGACGGTCTAGTTTGATATAACGACAGCCTAGCTCGGCTCAGAGGCGGCCTAGCTCCGTAGAGTGACGGTGTCTAGCTCGAGCACAGGAACTACCTATCTTGGCACAGTGGCGGTCTAGCTCGAAACAGTAACGGTCTAGCTCGACACAGTGACGGTCTAGCTCGGGACAGGGTTGGCCTGCCCCTGAACTGTGGCGTTTTAGCACGTCACAGCTAAGATCTTGCACGGTGCAGTGACATCTTAGCTAGGCAATGGCGTAGGATGAAACGTGGTCGACGATTCATCTGCTCTTAAATCATGTATTTTCAACCATCTGTATACGAAAAATTAGACCATGCGTTGAGGGTTGCGGTGCGCTCTAACGGATTGGTACGATGCACCGCGGGAGTTTCACGCAGTGCTCTGCAATGTCGACATGGCATTTCACTTCTGGTTGTTTTGTCTGTACATGCCTATCGGCCGAAAAGTTTATTAATACCGAGTGCAAAATGATGCTGGTACAAACTTCTCTGACACTATGGGCGCTTGGAGGCTATGTATGCTGTTTGGTATATGCCGACCAGTGAAAAGTCGTGGGATGATTAGATGCCCCATTTGCGGCGGGAATTGCAGCGACGACCACGAAAGCTGCATGCAACCGCCACATTTAGGCCAACTGCAGATGTGTTCCTCCGGCAGCTCAGATGCCACATTTAGGCCGACTGCAGATGTGTTCCTCCGGCAGCTCAGATGCCTGCACACTCAGCGCATCGCACTTAGTCGCACATCGCACTAGCTGGCCAGCGACGAACCGCCCTCCAACCCCGCTGGGCGGAGGCGTCAGTGTGATAGCTGCATGTACGGATACACGTAACACGCGCCCCGCGGTACGAACGACGGCGGTACGCATCGACGACAGGAAGTCAACAAGGCCTTCTCACCAACGTCGGCGAGGAAGCACACCAGAACGGACGGACGACGCCGGGACCAGCCGCGCCGACCCGGCCTCGGCGCCGCCCATGACGTCAGACGCGCGTAACCGCCGGCGGACAGCCCTTGGAGACCGGGCTTTCAGGCTTCCGCTCCCCCCCCCCCCCCCCCACCCCCACCCCCCTCCAATCACGACATCTGCCGCCACGCCCCACTGTCACACCGCGTCCCTCGCGACGCCCATCCGTCTCTTCCACCCACTCGGAGCCGACGTCGAGCCGGCGCCGCGCGGCCGGCGCGAGGCCTGCCATCTGGCGGCAGGAGCGCCGGGGCGCGCCCGTCGGCGCATGGCAGAGTGCCTGGCGGCCCCAAGGCTGCCGGCCGACAAGCCCGCAGCGAGGTCGGTAGCCGGCCGGCGCGGCTCGCCAGGAGTGCGGCGCAGCGGCCGCCGGCGTGTACAACACACGGCAGACAGCCCGGCACGCGACTCGGACGGTGGCGGTTCGGACGCACGCACGGGCAGGCTCCACACTCGGACACAGCTCGGTGACAGATGGGTCACGGGTAGCGAGCCAATGAAGGGTCGGCCATTGGTTCGAGAAAAAAGCACGGTAGGTGTACTAGCGGGACATGGGCCCTATAAAGGCATAGGGGATGTCCAGTATTTAGGTGATCTTCTCTATGTAGAGCCACATTTATAGGCGCAACGTTTAGTCTCGCAAACATTTGGGGGCTGTCTTTAACACTCGAGTCCTCCCTCCCCTCCCCATTTACGCTTGGAGGAGCCATGCTAGGGCTGCTATGGCGGTGGGACAACATGGGTACGGCATGCGGCAGGTCAGGCATGTTTACAGGCAAAGCACGAGGCGTAGATGGCATATGGGTAGCACACAAGCGGGACAGGGACGGCACGAGCACGGCAGGTACAGCACGAGCAGGACAGGGACGGCACGACTAGGACAGGTACAGCACGAGCAGGATAGGGACGGCACGAGCAGGACAGGGACGGTACGAGCAGGACAGGGACGGCACGACTAGGACAGGTACAGCACGAGCAGGACAGGTACAGCACGAGTAAGACAGGGACGGCCCGAGTAGGACAAGGATGGCACGAGTAGGGCAAGGACGGCACGAGCAGGACAGGGACGGCACAAGCAGGACAGGGACGGTGCGAGTAGGACAGGTAAAGCACGAGCAGAACAGGGACCGCACGAGTAAGGCAGGGACGGCACGAGTAGGACAAGGATGGCACGAGTAGGGCAAGGACGGCACGAGCAGGACAGGGACGGTGCGAGTAGGACAGGGACGGTGCGAGTAGGACAGGTACAGCACGAGCAGGACAGGACAGTGCGAGTAGGACAGGTACAGCACGAGTAGGACAGGTACGGCACGAGCAGGACAGGACGGCACGAGTAGGACAGGACGGCACGAGTAGGACAGGTACAGCACGAGCAGGACAGGACGGCACGAGTAGGACAGGTACAGCACGAGTAGGACAGGGACGGCACGACTAGGACAGGTACAGCACGAGCAGGACAGGACGGCACGAGTAGGACAGGACGGCACGAGTAGGACAGGTACAGCACGAACAGGACAGGACGGCAAGAGTAGGACAGGTACAGCATGAGCAGGACAGGACGGCACGAGTAGGACAGGTACAGCACGAGCAGGACAGGGACGGCACGACTAGGACAGGTACAGCACGAGCAGGACAGGACGGCATGAGTAGGACAGGTACAGCACGAGCAGGACAGGACGGCATGAGTAGGACAGGACGGCATGAGTAGGACAGGGACGGTGCGAGCAGGACAGGGACGGTGTGAGTAGGACAGGAAGCTGGACAGCGGTGGCACGGGTACGACAGAAACAGCACGGGTAGGATGTGGACAGCACGAGCACGGCAAGAACAGCATGAGCAAAACAGCAACGGGACTAACAGAGCAGAATCGATGTAAGAATGACAGCAAAAATATTTGTTAATGTCCTCATGACTGACGATGATGGATATAACCAAAACAACATACCAGCAGGACAGGGATGGCATTCAGATAGTACGCAGGCGCCGCGCCACACTGTTGCGAAGACAGCTTTGCAAACAAAAGACATAAATGGTCTGAATGGCATAAATGACGATGACAAAGAAATGACATAGGCAGAATGACCAACGAAATGCAAGAGCGCATCGTCATTGCCAATGACATGTGATCACGGAAAACATCGTGTGGGCTGAAATTTTCAGCAACCTAAGTAGGTTTGTGATCGTTCCACTCTTTCACCCATAATAATCGCGATCATGGGATGAAACTGCATTATAAAGCCAACAACGCTAAAGCTGCATTATATGGATCTTTCCAATGTGATTTTTTTCTGTGGAGCAATAACAGGGCCCAGGGCAATGTACAGCTTCGTCAGCAGCACGTTGTCTAACTGACGCAGGTTTTAGCTATATCTCTGAGATTGAATGAAGACCAGGACCGCGATGAGGTCTGAGGAAATCCCCACCTGTGAATGGTATTTTTGAATGGGAAAATGTGAAAACACATGCATTGTACGAACGACGTTGCGTAGGCCACAAGCCCGATTTGGGGAAAATTAGGGACCTGTCTCCAGGGGTTATGCCCATAGGAGAGGTCATACCCTAAGGCATAAAACCCATGCCTCGGACCACTTTGCAGGCCATTGCTGGGACCCAAATATAGCCGGGAAGAGGCCACTGGAGGCTTCAGTGGCTTCGGGGAAACGTTCCCACAGCGGCCCGTCGGCATTCGGGAGTTGACTAAGCAAACGAGCCGGCGTTCCACCAGAGCACACAAAGACTAGAATAGCTCTCTGTTTACAACCAGTTCGGAATCACAACGGCTAAAAGCACGAGAAGCAAGGCCGACTGATGGGTGGCAAGTCAATGCGGGGTGTCGCATAAACAAGGCGGCCCGCCGAGCATAGATCGCAGCTCGCCAGACTACAGAGAGACCCCTCGCAGCAACACTTCTGCAACAGCTGCAAACAGAGCACGTGGGAGAGGCCAGGGCGCTCAATGTTTAGCGATGTCGTGCCGACCGCTCCAACCAAACAGCATCATTCTCTGTCATGTGCACAGCCCCATGTAAACAATAAGGAAAGGCCGATGAGAGTCGATCTCGTGGTTGTTTTGTTGGATGTGGTTCATAGCACAGCGGCACAGGTCATCACAATGATCACTGGGAACGTTCTGTGTCGACGTTTCATCACAGAGGTCCACGTCTTGCGTAGCGCGTTCTTGGGAAGTACAACGATTGTGTTTTGGGACCTATTTCAGCCGCACATTGTGACGTCAGCTATCATTGTTTTGCGCGAGCTAGGCCAAATTTTCCAGGAAAACATGCCAACGGTAAAAAACCGCACGTCAATATCATAAACAATGCATGCAACGGAAACTGCACACGTGACGGCAGCCAAATGTTTCAACGAGTTCAGTAATAAAGCTCACTGCAATTGCCAGGTGATCACGGGTGACGGACGTGCAGCGTCCAGCCGCAGGGTGCTTACCAAGCGGCTGCACCGCCAGTGGCCCTGGGCCTGCGGTGTGGGAAACGACCTGTCTGTTGACCCCCCCAGCCGGCGCGAGGCGTCACAGCGCCGCGATACGACGGGCGGGACGTGGCCCGGCCGGTCAGGGAGCCAGGCCTGATGCGACCGACACTGGAGAGCCGGCTGTAGCGTCCCCAGGCCCGGCCGTTGCCGCCGCCGGCGCGGCCGCAGCCACGGCGGCGGGGCGGACACCGACCCGCCCTCCCCCCCCCCCCCGCCCGCCAACAGACCCCCATGACCCGCCATTGTTCCGCCCATTCCGGTCCCATTGTTGTCTACGATGGTGCACACACCGCACGGCCGCTGGCCAATGGAACTCACGAACTTACCACGACACACACAAAAACGTTGTGCAGAGGCCCGGCTCCAGTGGGCCGCGGGACCCGCGACCTGCTGGCTCAGAGCCGGCGTCATCCCGCTAAACGGTGATGCGTGCCATGGGCTTCGAGGCGAAGTACCACGCCCCATGGAATACGACTAAAGCGGTGCAGTTCTCCGGCAATGAGGACAAACAATTACGACAGCGGGCCGTGACGTTAAGCTCACGGCTTCGGGAAGGCCCACAACATCACCTGGGACGGCAGCCGCAACCAAGCTGTTCAGCATTTTGGAAAAACGCTGGAAGGGATGCCATCAGTGCCGATACAACGATCGCTCTTTCACTGGCCGTCTATAAAGCCGTTGTCATGTACTTCAAACGTACGATGTAAAGCATCTCATGATGTAATTCCAAACATGATGGTCGTTTCAAAAATGCTTCAAACGCACCCTCAAAAAGCAGTTCGTTAGATAGGCCCCCAAAACGGCTGACCGCCATTTATGGTTAGTGTTTCTGTTTAGTTTTGAATTGTACCGTGGTAAGGGACACATACTTTTTCAGGTAGGTGCACATACATGCATGATATATATATATATATATATATATATATATATATATATATATATATAACGTGACTTCAGAATTCTGTATAAAATTGTCACAACGGTCTCCATGAAGAAACTTAAAAACATAAAATATGTGTTCACTACGAACCACAGACCCTTACAGACATGCCGCTCTTCGCCCCACGGAAATAAAAGCTCTGAGTTCAGGATCCCGCGCCAGAGGACAAATACTGCAGACTAAGCCGCGTCCTCTGCGATACATGAGCCTCCCCCAGTGATGACCAGGCACTGTTGCCACCCTGAGAGCCCAATTGACCGGATGTATGGCCTCAGCGACGGTGCTCGCTTACCTGCTGCTGGCTGAGACCGTAGGGAATGTGCCCGGCAGCTGAGGCTAGCAGCTCAAACCAGCAGGCAGCCACCATTTTGGCCATACGCGCTCCCAAGAGGCACGCACACACCACTGTCAGCAGCACGGCCGAGCCGGTCACCATTACACAGGACACTGAAACAGGAGCACATTCTAGTGTCAGCAGCACGGCCGAGCCGGTCACCATTACACAGGACACTAAAACAGGATCTCGGTCTAGTGTCAGCAGCACGGCCGAGCCGGTCACCATTACACAGGACACTAAAACAGGAGCACGGTCTAGTGTCAGCAGCACGGCCGAGCCGGTCACCATTACACAGGACACTAAAACAGGAGCACGGTCTAGTGTCAGCAGCACGGCCGAGCCGGTCACCATTACACAGGACACTAAAACAGGATCTCGGTCTAGTGTCAGCAGCACGGCCGAGCCGGTCACCATTACACAGGACACTGAAACAGGAGCACGGTCTAGTGTCAGCAGCACGGCCGAGCCGTCACCATTACACAGGACACTAAAACAGGAGCACGGTCTAGTGTCAGCAGCACGGCCGAGCCGGTCACCATTACACAGGACACTAAAACAGGAGCACAGTCTAGTGTCAGCAGCACGGCCGAGCCGGTCACCATTACACAGGACACTAAAACAGGAGCACGGTCTAGTGTCAGCAGCACAGCCGAGCCGGTCACCATTACACAGGACACTAAAACAGGAGCACGGTCTAGTGTCAGCAGCACGACCGAGCCGGTCACCATTACACAGGACACTAAAACAGGAGCACAGTCTAGTGTCAGCAGCTACGGCCGAGCCGGTCACCATTACACAGGACACTGAAACAGGAGCACGGTCTAGTGTCAGCAGTACGCCCGAGCCGGTCACCATTACACAGGACACTAAAACAGGAGCACAGTCTAGTGTCAGCAGCACAGCCGAGCCGGTCACCATTACACAGGACACTAAAACAGGAGCACGGTCTAGTGTCAGCAGCACGGCCGAGCCGGTCACCATTACACAGGACACTGAAACAGGAGCACAGTCTAGTGTCAGCAGCACGGCCGAGCCGGTCACCATTACACAGGACACTGAAACAGGAGCACATTCTAGTGTCAGCAGCACGGCCGAGCCGGTCACCATTACACAGGACAATGAAACAGGAGCACAGTCTAGTGTCAGCAACATGGCCGAGCCGGTCACCATTACACAGGACACTGAAACAGGAGCACGGTCTAGTGTCAGCAGCACGGCCGAGCCGGTCACCATTACACAGGACACTAAAACAGGAGCACGGTCTAGTGTCAGCAGCACGGCCGAGCCGGTCACCATTACACAGGACAATGAAACAGGAGCACATTCTAGTGTCAGCAGCATTGCCGAGCCGGTCACCATTACACAGGACACTGAAACAGGAGCTCGGTCTAGTGTCAGCGGCACGGCCGAGCCGGTCACCATTACACAGGACACTGAAACAGGAGCTCGGTCTAGTGTCAGCGGCACGGCCGAGCCGGTCACCATTACACAGGACACTAAAACAGGAGCACGGTCTAGTGTCAGCAGCACGGCCGAGCCGGTCACCATTACACAGGACACTAAAACAGGAGCACAGCCTAGTGTCAGCAGTACGCCCGAGCCGGTCACCATTACACTGTCACCATGTCTTGTCAGCACAAGGGAGCCAGACTGCACAGGGTATCGGCATGGAGCGTGGAGACGGTCCACTGCCAGTGTTAGAGGGCGAGGCCGTACAGGACAGTGGAAAAGGGACCCACGCGCGACCGGCAGCATCACAGTACTTTCATAGCAGGCACTCAAACAGAGGTGCCATGACACAGCTCTGCGAGGAAGCGTGCCGGAGCACCACGCAATACTTTCAGGCACAGCACAGTCTGGCACTCAGCATGCAGCCGGCATCCCAGACCGCGTGTCCAGAGGAGAGATCGCGATGCTGGCCGGATACTGTATCCGCACACAGATCATCACAGCCGGCATCCCAGACCGCGTGTCCAGGGGAGAGATCGCGATGCTGGCCGGATACTGTATCCTCACACAGATCATCACAGCCGGCATCCCAGACCGCGTGTCCAGGGGAGAGATCGCGATGCTGGCCGGATACTGTATCCTCACACAGATCATCACAGCCGGCATCCCAGACCGCGTGTCCAGAGGAGAGATCGCGATGCTGGCCGGATACTGTATCCTCACACAGATCATCACAGCCGGCATCCCAGACCGCGTGTTCAGGGGAGAGATCGCGATGCTGGCCGGATACTGTATCCTCACACAGATCATCACAGCCGGCATCCCAGACCGCGTGTTCAGGGGAGAGATCGCGATGCTGGCCGGATACTGTATCCTCACACAGATCATCGATCACGTCGCTGTCGCAGGGTAAGCAAATAATCACTGATTAGGAATGTATATGCTGCACTCGTCCCGGCGGACGCTGACTGCGACGAGCAGGCGTGTCCCCGTCACCGTACGTCAGTGACGCTGCCGTGTCTGCGACTCCCGACACTGACCGGCGGCGCTGCTGCCCGGCCTGTGCAGACGTCAATCACACGCATAACAACAGACGACGGACTGATGGCATTACTGGCTTCTGACGTCAGACACATGGGTTTGTCTTAATGTGGGTCTGAATCTGTTTTCAGAGCGTTGTATGAGCAAGGCTGAAGAAGAGATAGCGATTATCCCGAAAGCTTCCGTTCAATGCAAACAAGCTGTCTTTGGTATCTGTTGCTGCCAAGCTGGCTATTGCATCTTTTTACATTTATTGTGTCCGACTTCAATAACGTTTTCCAACAATTTAAGGCTTAAAAACTCCATTTCAGAAAAGTATGGCCCACGTCAAAAGACAAGCATATATATATATATATATATATATATATATATATATATATATATATATATATATATATATTTGTTTATTTATATATATATATATATATATATATATATAAATTGGTATGGCCTCGTGGCCTTCTGAATCTTGCCTACGATGTCATTGTGAATGCCGGCATCTGCAACAGCGTTAACCCGAACAAAATGTCAATCGATTGTCAACATTGATGGCGAAATTGCAGACGCAGTGCATTATTGAAGAAACGAGACGTGCAGCGCGCCTCATTCGTCGCCGTCAGCGCGCAGAAGCAGCCTCGCGCCGTTGAGCAGCTGTCTGTGTGCCCACTCTTGGTGTAGGACTGCTCAGGGGGACTAGGGGGACTAGGGACTAGGACTAGGACTGCTCAGGGGGACTGTGATGGTGCGTGCTAATGAAATTCTGAGTGAAAAACAGAGGTATTCGCTTTGCCCTTCACTAGGGAGGGAAAGAGAAAGAGAGGCAGAGAGAGAGAGAGAGAGAGAGAGAGAGAGAGAGAGAGAGAGAGAGAGAGAGAGAGAGAGAGAGAGAGAGAGAGAGAGAGAGAGAGAGAGAGAGAGAGAGAGAGAGAGAGAGAGAGAGAGAGAGACAGAGACGAGAGAAGAGAGACAGAGACAGAGACAGAGACAGAGACAGAGACAGAGACAGAGACAAGACAGAAAAGACAGAGACAGAGACACAGAGGACACAGAGACAGAGACAGAGACAGAGACGAGACAGAGACAAGAGACAGAGACATAGACGAGACAGAGACAGAGACAAGAGACAGAGACGAGACGAGACAGAGACAGAGACAAGAGACGAGAGACAGAAGACCAGAGACAGAGACGAGACAGAGACGAGAACAGAGACAGAGACAGAGACAGAGACAGAGACAGAGACAGAGACAGAGACAGAGACAGAGACAGAGACGAGACAGAGACAGAGACAGAGACAGAGACAGAGACAAGACAGAGACCAGAGACAGAGACAGAGACAGACGAACAGAGACAGAGACAAGACAGAGACAGACGAGACAGACGACAGATAGACAGAGACCAGAGACAGAGATACAGAGACAAGACCAGAGACAGACACAGAGACAGAGTACAGAGAACAGAGACAGAGACAGAGAACAGAGACAAGAGGCAGAGACAGAGAAGAGACAGAGAGAAGAGAGAGAAAGAGAGAGGAAGAGAGGGAGAGAGAGAGAGGGGGAGAGAGAGAGAAGAGAGAGAGAGAAGAGGAGAGGAGAGGAGAGAGAAGAGGAGAGAGAGAGAGAGAGAGAGAGAGAGAGAGAGAGAGAGAGAGAGAGAGAGAGAGAGAGAGAGAGAGAGAGAGAGAGAGAGAGAGAGAGAGAGAGAGAGAGAGAGAGAGAGAGAGAGAGAGAGAGAGAGAGAGAGAGAGAGAGAGAGAGAGAGAGAGAGAGAGAGAGAGAGAGAGAGAGAGAGAGAGAGAGAGAGAGAGAGAGAGAGAGAGAGAGAGAAGTGTGGTTGAGGACTCCACCTGAAACCCTAATGTTACAGAAATGTTGCCTCAACAGACGGCTTGATAGATGTCATCTGATGCCCAACGTAGTCGGGATACAGCACAGGGTCACATACAGTGTATGAGCGCCATTTTGCTCCGCTATAAACTTTTAAAGATAGCTAAGGATGCATGGTTCGGCCGGCAGGGTCGAAAAATGTCCGCCCGGGTTGCATTTCTACCTTCTTCTTACAGCAACTTTGGCGAGGAGCACCAGAGCGTCATTTTGGAAAAAGTTGCCCTTTCATTACACATCATTACCTCATCACCCTTTTCAACATACCTTGACCTGTCATACATTATCTAACATTACCTGATATTCGTTGCACGCCATCCATCGATCAGCAGCATTAGAAAGGGGTTCGATTACCGCGGTGCCCGCCCTTCCTGCCACGATGAGAGTCAGGCAGTACCATATAGCCTCAGCAGCTGAGTGTGTCGGTAAAGACTCAATGGCACACATAAGCATGTGTATCCGACATTCGTCTTTTCTGGTCCACCTTCCTAATTTCATTACTACCCCTCCAGGGATAGCTGTGCACCCCCAAAGTGCCCTTCAGCGGAGCGCTCGTCTCGATCGAAGCTCGTCTCGCAGCAAACTCCAGGGCCGCCGCCGCCGCCGGCCCTTCCGCCCCCAGTGGCGAGCGGCAGCAGACCGACGGTCGGCGCGGCCTGCTGTAAGCGACCTTCTGACAGCCGCTCTCGGCACCTGCGCTGCCGGCGGCCGGCCGGCCGGCCGGGCCGGGCCGGGCCGGG